GTAGCTTCTTGAAGACAAAAAGCATGTACAAAATTTTAAGTCTATACCTCAAGATAAAAATTGCGACTGATGTGCTTCGAGGTCTGTGGGGTATTTCAGATATTCTTTTTAAAAATTTGAAACAAATTTTCCTTCACGTACAGCTATTTTTGTCATTTGAATAAATGGTGTTAGCTTGACCACTACACCCTTTGACTGCAACACAAAAATCTCTTGTGATAGAAAATTTTTAATATCACTTTCGGTTTTAGCTATTCAAAGCTAGCAGAAAACAACCTCTTACATCACAGTCGCAAAGACTAAAATAGAGTGTACCATATATGTGTGATATTTTTGATTTATTAAGTGGTAATGTTTTTTGACCAGGATATGGCTTTGTGTCGAAAATAACAGAAATCGTCCTAAACCGAACCCGATTAACGCAGTGATATCTTGATTTCTTATCTAGAAAATTTTTATAAATCAGCAATATTAATTAAGATTTATATAGATCTTAATGGGCACAACATTTGGTTTTCTTTCGAAAATTTCCAACAATTATATGCGTTCTTCAAGTAACTAATAACAGCTTAGATTTAAGGTCGTTATAAATATAAATATAAGGCAGTTATCCATATTGAAATTATCTGAAGTATTTTTCTTTTATTAATCACTTCCCTCACATCCGGAACTTAAGCAAGGAAAACAACAAAAAGTTTCCAAAGCCTATGTCTACTGGATTTTATACACGTGTGCACTAAAAATACAACAGTTCAACTTGTGTACTCCTCAAGCGAAGTCACTAGCGAGTTACAATTGTTGAAATTACCAAAACATTGTATCGCTTGCAAGGCAAATACAAAGCTCGTTCGCTTGCGAATTGTTTGCCAACTTTTTGTCATCTCAAATTGGCCAATCTCTGTGTTGAAAATATGTATATGCACGGCCGAGATTACAACCGTTAATGCTAGTAATTGTACAATTAAGCATAATTATGATCATCAGCAGTGATTAGGTAGTAGAAGTAGCAGCCTGACAAGCGATACAGGAAGAGAAAAACACAACAATCAGACGGCTGAAATGGCTTAAGTGACACGAGCATATAAAAACAAATGAAAGAAAGCGCACAAGTGGAGGGCAAATGGCGAAAATTGGCGCCGACATATGTGATTTTAGGCGTGGAAGAACGAGTCACTTGAAAAGATTGGCCGCTTGCCAAATAACAGAAATTAGAAAAAGAGACTGTAGATGGCGGAAAATGCAAGGAAAAGGGAAAGAGGCATAGCAAATGCTCAGAGAAAAATATGTGTTTGCTGAAGACATAAAATTAAGCAGTTGAAGTGCAATCAAGTAAAAAATAAACTAAAATAATAATAAAGAAAAATTATATTTAATGTGATTTTGAAGTTAATCTTAAGTTCGAAAATGAAAAAGAAAAAAAAATATTTTCTGAGTACTCAAATCTGACATGGATTCGTAAATTAAATACTGGTGCCTATAGGGGATATAACTATGTCGAAATCGTCTTTTTTATTGCTCTTTCTATGGCTATACAGTGGTGTTCAAAGACTTTGCAGTCACTAATATGGCATATTTCTATTTAATACCTCTGTGTACCCACGTATAAGCTGTATACTCGTATTTTGCCATATCCCTTAAGATTTTAGGATAGTCTAAACCTTTAAAAACGGCATTTTTTTTATTGACATTAGACCCAAATTAGCCTAAAAATGTGATTTCGATCAATCTTTGGAACACTTGGCGGACGATCAATCTTCGAAATCACATTATGCAAGAGGGCTTCGAAGAGTGACGGTGATTCTAGATAATTGTGGTCTAACCCCTCAAGTAATAAAACATGTTATAATTCATTAATTTATCATTTTCCGCAGTCATTGAACGAATTATTTAACGAGTATCTTTTATTATGGCCTGCCACATTTTTGAACTCCACTATATTGGAGATATTTTAGTCACAAATAAACTCTGAAAAATGACATACAAACAAATGTGCGAGCGTATGTGAGTAAGTAGGTTAAATACATTGCAATGTTTGGAATATTTTTCTTGCCGCCGCAGGACTTAAAATTCAATTATGGCAAATAAAGCAAAGGAATAGGATGAAGCAGAGAAAATAAATATTTACTGTAATCTCTAAACTTTACTTTGTTGTGGCACATACTTATGAACTTTTGCTTTATATATGTATACCATATACTAAGGTTGCAGCAGTTGAGCCTGCTCCGCATGAAATTTCAAATTATGTGTTTTTATTTCCTCAATTTTATATTTATTTTCAAATATCTCTCTGTTCTGAGAAAATGGAAAAAATCGCTCAATTCAATCGTTAGCTTCTCAAACCCAACTTTGTTCTTTTCAGGAGATAATAATTTAGTTTAAATAAATTTCTTAATATGGTGCGCTGGTTTTTGGAGAAAGAAAATATAAAGAACTGGTCCTTGGTTTTTGTTATAATATTTTCAACTTCTAAAATAATTATTATATATTTTATTTATTTATTTATCAAATACATATATGCTCTAAATACAACAGTGACGCAACAAACTTGTTCCCCTATCCCTGTGACGAAACTAATTTTCTGTGCTTACAACAATAGTCACAATATACGTTGGAAAAGCATAAGCAATGTGTACTAATTAATCTTTATTTCCATCCCAACAATAAATTAGTGCAATTTATTACCTTTTCGAACCCATTTCAGGAAAGAAGAGATGCAACTGCGCAGACAAAGGCTACAGCATTTTCGATTAGCTAAGCTCGCTTGCAAAGCAGCCGATAACATTTATTATCGGGTATTTTCACGCTACATAAAATAAACCAAGGGGACAGCAAACGGCGTCATATTTTTTTCCCGCCCTTTTAACACCACTCTTCAGGAAGTTTTGCCATTTCATCACGGAAAGATATACGATCCAACAACAAGGTGAAATAACTTTAAGAGCGCTACGACCAATTTATGCTCATCATAATCGTCCTGTCAGTACCAAACGTTCCCGTATCACTTAGACAAAGAAGTACCAAAAACGTGAAAATAATCCGGATTTTCATTGAAATATAATACCATCATCAGCCTTGAGCGATGTGGCTTATTTCTGGTTGAATGGCTTCGTCAATAAGCAAAATATGCGTTGGTTTTGGAAGATCGTCGATTGACTGACAGAAATTTAATAAAGGCTCTATACATCTCATTACGTAGCTTGAGCCATATTTTAAGTGAAAATTGCTACCAATGGAACAAAAACACATTCGAATGCGACTTTCTCAGAAATTTTGTTGGTGGGTTACTTGCACAATGGTAAAAAAATTACATAATTCTGAATGTTATTGCAACCTTTTGGACCAGTTGAAGGAAAAAATTTGTGAAAAAAAGACCCGGTGTGCAGAAGAAAATCCTTTTTCTTCAGGACAATGCACCGTTTTACAGGAGCAGTTTGACAATGGCTACAATTCATGAATTAAAGTTCGAATTGTTGGAGCATCCGCCGTATTCACCAGATTTGGCCTCCAGCGAGGCAAGCCTTTTTTCATCAAAGGAGAGACTATATCGGCTGTTGAAGCGTATTTTACAGACCTTCGGAATTCTCACTTCAAGGATGGGATCCACAGACTTGTGGATCGTTTGAGGAAGTGTATTAATGTTCAGGGAGATTACACTAAATAATAAAGTGTATTTTGAATCAATAAATTGTATTTTTGTTATTAAACGGCTAAACTTATTGAACATCCTAGCATATGTAATTATCATTCCTTTTCCCAGCTCTTTAATTAAAAGAATTAAAAGGCTGTTTGCCAGGGATATTCACGCACAGAAATATTTTGTAGCAAATTATATGACCTAATAAAATTTACAAAGCTTTATGTGTGTGTTCTCATTACAAAAAAAAAAACTTTTTTACGTCAAAAATTTATTTCAAGTCCAAAATGTGTTATTTATATGGAAAATTAAATTTTTGAATGATACTCAACCACTATTGCACCAAAAACAGTTTACGCCTCAAATCAGAGATAAAATCAATTTGTTTAAAAATTAAGAATCTTATATATAACAGTATATTTAAATTATTGTATCATTGTAAACTGGTAAGAGTTCGTGAGTGAAAAACTATTCACATTGATTAACTTTGGCTTCAGTTTTCGTATAAAAAAATTTTAATATTTCCATTTTTGTGACAGAACTTTTACTGACTTTCCACTGAAATATAATTCAAAGCAATATTTTCAACTTGACCCACAAATCCGATTAACGCGATTACATTAAAGCACAATCCCTCCGATTTACAACTCATGAGTTATGACAACTTAAATATTAGTCTACGCGCAACTATTCGTTTGCAATTTCCCACCCAAAACTTTTCAACCGAAAATATAATAATTTTGCAGAGCAAATTGTTGCTGATAGCCACCCGCTCAGTGCAGTGCTTCAGTGCTCTTAGGGGAAAAGTCATAGAAACTGTGAAGTGCCCAAGAGGCGAATGTCACCTGTATAATCCGTCTGCAATTTGTCACAAGAGCACACAAGTGCCACATACATGCACACAAATGGCAAATAAAATACATGTGTGAGTTTATATTTATTTGTAAGTGTGTATGTGTGGGTGAAAGTTGAGTAAAGAAAGCAAATGGAATAAGGAAAAGAGTGATGTAGAAAATTAGCATTTGAAGCACATCAACAACGCTAACACCAAAGCACACACAACTACGTACACACAGAAATCCATACATATGTACCTGCATGCATGCATACATCCGAAAGAGAGTGTATGTGAACTGGCACTCTGGTTACTAACTCGTTATGCCCACTTGCAGCAGTCAATCCCGCAGCGAAAGCTTTCAATCTTCTCTCCTTCTATGTGTAAGCACCCACACACACACACATACATATGATATAGAATATATATTTCTCTGCCTGCACCCACTTGTACTTTTTGCTTTCGTAAACTGAACAAAATTTCGCCATTCATTCATGTTTCCCACTTTGTTTTTACTTTTCCCATTTTCAGGTCTCTTGGGTGCGTCATCGTGACATTCACCTGCTGACAGTCGGTCGTTACACCTACACGTCGGATCAACGCTTTGAAGCGATGCATTCGCCGCACGCCGAGGATTGGACGTTACGTATACGCTACGCACAACGCAAGGACTCGGGCATCTATGAGTGTCAAATATCAACAACACCACCGATCGGGCATTCCGTCTATCTGAATATAGTGGGTAAGTGACATGAGTTGTTGCTCAAATTTTTTTGTTTTGCTTTGTTTACATTTGTTCATTGTTGTTGTGGTACTTTTACGCCGGACCCATACTGCTCAAATGATAAATGACTTGATGCTTTATTAGGGTAGTTGGCAAAAGGTGGCGTCGCATAACACGTTACGATAAATTGCTGGTTTAGTGGGAGTGCCGAATGTTTGAAATGTTGATTTCGGCGTTTTATTCATAAATATTGTTAACTCGAGCACGTCTCGCATTTGTCCCGTCCAACACGGTGCATAGTTGAGCGCGTGAATGATGGAAGTTGAAGAATTTATTTCGAAATACTTTTTAATATGCCGATCACAGTTAAGTTTCGGCAATTAAGGAGTTAAATGAATAACAAAAATAATTGTAAAGAATTATGTGAAGTTTTGGACATTTCAATCGAAAAAATTATAATGTAGGTATTTAATTTGAACGTTTTCATTACATTAAAAAAAATCAAATAAATATTATTCTACATCTGAGGATTTGCTTAATTTCCCTAAAAAACTATTTTAGATAATTTAAAATTTATAAATCGTTATTATACTGACTAGAAAACGAAATAAAAACTACCAATTGTTATATGTACAAGCTAAGTAAAAAATTATCTTTCCTTTGAAATATTCCTAACTTGTATCTTGATCTAACTGATTAAACCTAGTTTTGGTAATTAATTCTGGCAGTCAGGAGAAAAGAAAGGCTTTATTTTCATATTTGAGTGAATTAAGGAAAGTATTAATATTTTAATACAAAATGGAGCGTACTGAGCCAAATATGAAAAAAGGCTTGAAAAGTGACGAGCTCGCCTAAGTATATTATGTTAAAAAATTTAAAGAAAAAATAGTGCTAAATTAAAAAAAAATATTAATAATAATAATACGCAAAAGCGACAAAATGTTAGTATCTTACCAAATAATATTACGCAGAAGATAATTTTAAAATCTCAAGAGGAAACATGTAGTAGTTTCTGAATAGAATTTTCGTCCGAATCGAATAATTAAATTCAGAGTAAAACTTTTTAAACCTTAGCATGCTGAACCCGACTGATACCTTAAAAACTTACCGATTTTGATTTTGACAAAAATTATCCATTCTTCTACAAATTTGATAAAGGTGTTATGAACCCGAAACCTGAATATAACTACAAAATTATATTTACTGAAAGACTGACCTCTTATTCTCTTCTATATTAAAAAATCAAACATCAGATTACTGGCGGCAAGTAGAACACCGGTACATACTCTGCTAAAACTGAAGAACAGTTTTGTCGTTAATAGAAGTATATACTTTGACTCATTGATAGATCATCTCAGAAAGAAGACATATTGCTGTGGTTAAGGGTCGCTTCATTACTCTCCTGCTACTTGCAAATGAGATTATATGGTTCCCTTTACTAATAAATTGGGGTAAATTTTGAAATGATGCTTTGTGAAAATTTATTATTATTAATATTAAATAAATAATAAAATAATAATAAATTTAATAAAAATAAAAAGTTTTCGATACCAACGTCGGATTTTGATGGAACAGTTTGTATGGCAGTTACATGCTATAGTGGGCCGATAGGAATAATAGCTTCGGAAATTATACCGTTGTCTTAGGCAATAATTCGAGCGAAGTTTCATTAAGATATCTTGTGAAGTACCAAGTCTTTCCATACATCGGCTTTACTTTAATCGTTCTGTTTATGTATATGGCTGCTATATGCTATACTGATCTAATATCGGAGGTTCGAATAAATGTTGAAAAAGACCTTCGGTGATCATTGTTTGTCACGAGCAAGTATTTTGATTAGTATAATTTATTCAAAGAAACAACCAACCACATCCAGGAAGGCAGTCACCATCAACTGATGATCAACACGTCAATAAAATAAAGAAATTGGTGTTTGAGAATTGACGATTAACAGTGTGAGATCTTACTGGCATCGTTGGGATATCGGAAGGATCGGTGAAAAACATTTTGAAAGATCATTTGATCCTAAGAAAAGCGAAAGCACGGCTGATTTTTAATTCAATAAATTCACTAAACCTTGATTGAGTACGTATGTAGTAGCTGTGTTGAGTTCTTGATTCTCTGTATTTCTGAGTTAACATTTGTGACCCTTAAATTTTGTGCAAAAAACTAAATTTGTATTTTATTTATTGCATTAAGTATGAAATAAATATATTGTTGCTCATGGCTTTTAAGGCCGTAAATTTATACGCTGTTTAAAGAACGAAAAACTTTATTACTGCGTCTTACACCTCATACGAAATAGTAGCAAAAAGAGCGAATATAGAACTCTCAGTTATGATGTAATCTTTCGAAGAGTTACTAGCGTGAAACTAAAAAGAACCTTGAGCAGAACTTTCGACGCTTTATTACAATACAATACAAGAAAGAAAAGTACTTGCGAAAACCATGAATTTCAAAAGTCATACCAATTCAAACAAAAACATGAAACAGAATTAATTGCTTGCCCATTAAGCGCAGTTCCTGGTATGAATATCCGTGGATAATAGATTAGATGGCCACCAAAGCGAGTTGACTATGACGCGAATAGCAAAGGAGTCAAAGTGCCAGCTAACAAAGTGTATCACTCACTGCGACAACTTACTGGCAGAGTGTCAGAGTGTGAGTTCGCTGCCTGTGTGCAAAGCCATTTGTAGACGAAGCTGACGGTGCGGCAGTTGACCCCAACACCGAACCCTAACTAACTTCCATATCAACGCAACTGCAGAGTGCTTGACGAATGGCAGTTAGTCCGACAGTTTATTGGCCATATTGCTCAGACGCTGTTTGTGCAGCTGTTGACCACTTGATGGCGTGACTTTTTTTTCCACTGAAAATACATTTCGCACTGGCTGCCAGCGCAAGCGAGCGATAATGTTGTACGCACATTGGCGTGGCGGGGGCGACGTGGTGGCGTGTTGAGCAGTCAGCTGGGCAATGATAGTCACAAGTGCTGCAGTAACTTTTCAACGTTGTATCTCAACTTTTGCCAATCGGCAATCTTCTGCATCCGATGATTCACCTCTTCACCTGCATTTCGCTAAAATGTTGCTATCATTTTTTTTTTGTTGCTTGTACTCTACTTTTGGTATATATGCACGTTTGTAGTCGTGAGTTTTGGTTGCTTTCGATTTTCATTTGGTTTTGTTTCTTCCCTTCGCAATTCGTTGTACGCTTGTTCTGTATTTTGATGATTCCCTTGGGCGCCATTTGCAGTTTATGGCTGAACATAAGTTTTACTTTGCTTTTTTGTTTCGTTTTGTTTTTGCGCTTGTGCGGATGTTGCCCTCTCAAGCACTCATACACTCACACATTCATGTTTTTGTAAGGTAGCAACACAACCTCAATATTGTTACATAAATCACTTCACACTGCCGCCATGAACGACTAGTAGTGCCTTACTGCCATAGGCACACACACACACATACAAACACAAGTGGTTTGCTTAGCTCATAGAATTATGCTATTTCGCACTTTCCATCTCCATTCCACTTTTGATTTCTACCGATGCACACGCTGTGCCGTGACGCAATTATCTGCGCACCTTGCTCCTTATTAAGTCGTGGCAAGCAATATTCGCATAATTTTAGATTTCCACACATTTTACATAGATTTCGTACGAGTGTGTGTGTGACCATATTTTTATGACGTCTTCAAATTTTTGCACCATCTTTGAGCGCCGAAAAACACGCTCTTCAGACCGCAGTGACACCTGTTTCGCTGCTTTGCCGCCCTGCCTGCTTCTACTAGACATTTAATTTCTTTATGTGCTCAACGTGGCAAGGTCATGAAATTTGACGCGTCTGTGTCAACTTGTAAATGACAGCGTGAATTGACAATTCGAGTGTACTTTACATGCGCATGGGATCATAAAATCTTAGATATGTATAGTATATGCTCTGGTTCTCTGCTGTGTAGTTGAGATGTAAGAAAGTACTTTTAAGACTCGTAAACAAGTCTTTCTGAAATTTAAGTCCATGAGCATGAAACTTTTTACTTATGTTTTAAAGCTCGCAAAATTTTTAGACATTCACATGTCCATTTTTTTCATTTATTACCTCAAAGTTTCCGTGATTATAATCAAAACATGAAAAAAAATCTAAAAATAAACTAACTTACTTTGGCAACTAAAGAGTGTGCGCTATACCCATATAGACTTTAGAAAATATATCACACACTTCTTCAACATAAACATATTTTGTCCACTTTAGCATGCTATTAAAGAATATGAACAACTCTTAAATACAACTGAAATTGATCAGTGAAGTAACAGTTTGACAAAACAGCTTCCCTTGTTGTAAACTTCTCATGTGCCTTTTTTTCTTGAGTTACCTTAGGTTAAGTGGCTGGTTCCTTAAAAAAGCTGGAGATCATACGAATCACCTAACCAACGCTCTGAACCTATCACAAGTCTGCTTTGAAGTTGTATTTATATTCCCGCCGTTTCACCTGAATGTCTAAAAGCAAGAGATCCGAATTGTTTTTGCTTTGATCTGGTAAAAACAGAAAATTCGAGAATGAAGTATTGAGAAGATTCCTTTTGTCTTCTTCCAAACAAATAATAGCCTATGCAGCTGACAATCCGCAAGATGTTAAATGAATCTGGATCGAGCAGTGTTCAGTTATAACCCCTACCACCGTTAAAATATGAACCTTACTGAGAGCGAAGAGCTCCAGGGCCAGAAAAATAATACAACTACATTTCTGCTGGCAGTTGACCAACGCTTGCTGAGCCGGTATCCAACCCACATAAAGCCAACGTTCATATGCAATCCTACTTCGTAGTTATTGATACTGAAGTACCTGTCCTAGCAAATTCATCAACCTTGAAGTTTCCTGAAAAATAAGGAGTCTAGACCCCGTTTCACTAGTCGTGAGCACACGTGGCTAATATCCTTGCCCTACTATAGGAGTGGATAATCACCACTATGAAAGAGGTTACACTTCGGATACTACCTTTATGGCATCCACCTTTGCTT